CTGAGAGAAAACAACTGAGGAGAACAACCACCGTGGGGCTGTTTCCCCACCTGGTGGTGGGGTTTCCTCACCTGCTTCCTACCTCAGCAGACTCGGGTGTCTTCTAAAGGAAGCAGTTTTCCTCTTCACAGGTCACCCGGGACAGGATTAACATCTGCCAAACTCAGGATTAAAGAATCTGGCAGATAATGGGAGCACCAAAGCTTGACAGCTTCATTTGCTCCACTTCCTGAGTCCAAGCCTCCCAGCTTGCGAGGCTTTAGCAGCTAATTAAGTTGCTGCCTTCAGTGTATCAGATGAATACCCAGATGCAAGAGGTTGGGCATAATTTAGTTGTTTGCAAAGGGTTTGCTGGAGCTGGAGCTCTGGCTCTCTGCCCCATGGGAGCAAAAGGAATGCTTCCACACCAGGGCTTGTTTGTTCTTGGGCTCAGCCACTCTCTCCAGTGGTGGAAGTGGCTCATCAGCTGTCCCACCAGCAGCCACCTCATGAGCCAGCCTACCTGTGCTGGGGGTTGGGATAGGGAAGCATGGCACCTGTCTCAAGGTGCTCAAATCCAGGCTTGCCTGAGCTGCACCAAGCGCAGCCTCCTGGGACTGTTGGGAGCCCCCTTGTCAGCAGCCCTGGTGCCAGCAGTGGCTGCAGGCCCTGTACGTGGAAACAATTTATGTATTGCCACCGTAATGCGTTGCTTGACCCCTCCAGACACTGACCTCAGGTGGGAGAGGTGGCATCAGCCCTGCCCAAAATATACTGCTTGCCAGTGCAGTCACCCCAGGGACTCCCAGTTTGCACAGGAGTACAAGGGCACAGGACAACTTCTGCTTTCCCAGTGTAAAGCAATGGCTGTAGTTTTTGCCCCTGGCTGAATAAGACCAGTTTTAATTCCTCAACCTTCCTGCAGTGGTCTCTTATGCCTTGATGGTCCTGAAACTGCTGTTTTCTCTGAAACATTGTCCCTGCTTTCAAGTTCCCCTGAGTACCTGAGGGCAGTTATTTCAAACCTTTGCAGTTCATGCCCTCAGCTCTTATTTATCTCTGGGAGTGGAGAAAGAACATTGCCTAACCTGGCACTGCCAAGCTTCGCAGGGGATTCAAACAGCAATTTCCCAGGGTGAAAGGGTGGACTTCCCAGTACCTGTGGCGCTCCCTGCATCCTCTCAGTTTGTCCTCACCCGGAGAAATGAGGAAGGACTTGCCACTATTGCTATTTTGTGTATTTAGAAGCCTCACCTATCCCACAGAGCAACTGAGATGCCTCAGCAAGCAAGCAGAAACCACCTTCTGTGAGTAAACTTGGAATCCTCGAGCACAGCAGATAGTTCCCAGCCTGGCCTCCACTTTCAATTGCAGCACAATCCTGCCATTTTGTCTCTGCTTAATAAAGCAGCAGTCCAGACCTTTGCGTACCAGCTGTAGCTTTTTCCTGCTGAGATTACTTGTTGCATCAGTTGAAAACCGAGCAGGCTCCGCAGTGACCTCTCATTCCTCACAGCAAACCCATCCCTTGCTGCTGTTGCCTGTCTCTGATGCCTTTGCTCTGAACCACAGCCATTTGTACAGCTTTGCAGCAATCTCCTGTTTTCCTCTGCTGAACTGGGGTAAGGGAGTGGAATGAAGCTGCAGGGAAAAGGCATGGGTGTCTCACTCTCTTCAGCATCAGTGCTGGCATGGGATTGGGATCCTGCACTGGCTGTGGTTGAAGAGCAAAGACTGCACCACCCTGGAAGTCCAGCTGGGGTCCAACACCTGGAAATGCGTGTTTGATGCAAGTAAGCAGCACCAGGCTCAGAAAAGCATCCTTTCCTGAAGACCTGGCAGTGTGTGCCTGGAGCAGGACCACACTGTGCTGCAGCAGGGCTCCCTTGAGGGCCACTGTTATTGTGGCACCAGTAAACACACACAGCTTGCACCAGCCACATACACGTGGTAATACCTCAAGCCAGCAAGTCTTTGCCCCCAGCAGTGAGTGGACACGCAAAGAGCTCCTGCAGTCAGTGTGGCCAGAGGAACTATGGAATCAGGGCAGGGCAGCAGTCCCTGAGCCACCATCATGATTTCCCTCGGTGCCCCTAACGGGATTGCCACTGGCTGCTGGAAGGGTCCCTTAGGGGCAGTGGCAGCTGTGAGTGGCCTTCTCCAGCTGCATCAGCTCCTTTTTCTTGTCTGCACCAGAATTAGTTAGGGTGTCACTGTCCTGTCTTGATCTAGCCAAGTGTCTACTTGACAGGGCTTAGCAAAGCCAAAGCACTTGCAGGCAGCTTTTTCTTAAAAAAGCTGTTTATTATCACAGTGGACGAGTGGAAAAACATGACACAGTGTACAGAGGCGGCTCCAGCAAATTAAAAACAAGTCTTAAAAAAGTTACAGTTGTCTCTGAATTTGAGTGAACGAGGCTCTCACTGCAAGCTGCAAATGTGTTGCTCCAATGCACAGGTCAGTAAGGCTACTAAGCACTTCAGACGGAAATGCTGTGCTGATAAACAAGGAGTGTTTGGCTGCTTCCAGAGCAGCAACCAGTTTTCCCCAGCATGACTCCCAAAGTTGTGATGTACTCTGTGAAGCTCTAGGTGAGCTGGGTGCTAGGAAACCCCTTGGTTTTGTCAAATCCAGACTGAGCTGTGCTCAGACCTTCAGCCCAGCCCAAACGAGCACTTGCAGCTGCCCAAAAATCACCTCTGAAATGAGTGGCTATGACTGGCACCGTAATCAGTGCCAAACTCTGTCCTACATGGAGCTGGGCTTGATCCTGACACTGCTTACTCAGAAACTGCACTTAGTGGCTGCAGCGCCCCAAATGCTGCTGTCCCTGAAAACACCACTCTGGATGCCTGGCTTGTAACAACCAGGTATGGAACGGGATTTGCAACAGGGCTGAGAATACTGCACAATAAACAGCACCAAAGGCTGCTCCAAACCAAAAAAGGGGCAGATGTGCCTGCATTGGAAAGCTTAGGGAAGCTGTTTTAGTCAACCAGTGACATAAGGACAGGAGCTGGAGTTTTAAACTGTATTTTCTACCTGGCAAAAGGGCAAATAATTCTGTGATTAGATCAAACTGGGAGCACACTTCCCTTCAACACAGGCAAGTGATGCCTCTTGTGAAGGCCCTTCCTTACACAGTGTCTTCTCCTTTCCATCAGAGCAGCCTGGCAAAACACAACATTTTGACAAGGTGCATGAGTGTCTGATTTGTTAAAGTCACTGAGAAGTCTTTAAAGGCTTTGCTTTGGCAGATGTTTTGGCAATTGAAATCCAGCTCATCTGTAACTGTGTGCCCTTTTGCTTCAGTAAACAAATGGCTCAGGTGCAGAAGTCATTCAAGTTAGCTGACTTTCCTCTGGCATGGTTGAAAAACTTCATCTGTCTCCCTGTGAAAAATCAGAGTTGATACCACAGGCACAGAAGAAAAGCACTGAAAAATAATAAACACTGGGTTGGTTTTCTTATTTTTTTTTTTTTTTTTTTTTTTTCTGTAGGTTTTGTGAAAAGATTTATGAGTATTTTAAAATGTGTAAGGGAGCTGAAGGGAGTAGACAGAATGGGGGGGATTGAGAAAGGTCTGCTACCATGTAGAAAAGGGAGAAGCTCTGATCTATAAAGCAAGCTCTTTCTCATCCTTTGTTTCATGAAGCAGATTTGGGAGATGGGAAGGTGAGGGTTCATTGGTTTGGCATTTTAACTGGAGATTCTTCTTCCAGCCTGTCAAGATTTTGTGGGTTAGTCAGCTACTGGAGAATTGTTTCTCAAAGTTTTGGGGGGGGGTGATAACACGGGAGAAGGAAGGAAAATGGCTCATGCTTTTCCATTTTAGGTTCCTACACTATAGGGTAGAGTTTGAATTTACAAAGCATGCCTAATTCCACCCCCCCCAACACCAAAAAAAAAATCCAATACCCCAGTCCTTTGCAAACTGGTTTCTTTTAAGAGCATCTAAAGTTGCACTCCCTAAAAAATACTTATTTCGGGGACAATAATGTTTTCTTGCTGGTCCTTATTGTTACTACCAGCCTCTTGCCTTGCTCTTTCTATTAATTCAAGCTTAGACTAAAAGCTTTCCAAGCAAATCTCAATGCTTCTGTGTGCTTACACGTTGCTGGGAGAAGGGATTTCTATTTGATGCTACTGATTTTCAATTGTCCCTCCTCCCCACTGAAGCTGGGCAACGTAATGGTGTATTGCCACCAGCACAGTGTCTAGGCCAAGAGCCAAACCAATGAACAGCCTGCTAATTAATTTTTCACATTTATCTCCAGACCCCCTCCCCAGAACAAACACTGTGAAAACAGGAGGTAGCAGTTTCTGTGCAGCCCTCTGGAAATTTTAAGCAAAAGTGGTTTACTGACAGCTTTATGGTTTTACAGTGAAGGCAGTAAGGACTTCTGGTCATATAAAAGAAAATGGATTTCCTTCAATATGGAAAAAAAAGATTACTGAAAGTAATCTGAGCCTGATGTATCCACTTCTACCCGCCCCCCCCCCCAAAAAAAAAACAACCAAAAAAAAGAGCAGTGTCTACAATGCTGCCTGTAGTCAGTGGAGAAATAGGGGCCTCATTTCTAGGCAGGAGGAAGGTATTCATGTTAAAAACATTCATACCAAGCAACTACTATAGATCCTGTTTCTAGTAAAGCTACATATGTTCATTTTCAGTTCTGAGGCAGGTAATACTGTGAGCTGGTGGAATTTGTGCATCTTGCACCCTTTCTTGCATACATATGTGTGTGTGTGTGTGTATTTAAGGATATAAATAAGTTAGAGATTATTTACATCACTGTACTGAGTAAACCTAAACTCAGTTATCAAAACGCGTATACCTGCCAGTGGATTTACTCTGTTAACACTTTGCATTTCATCATCAAAGCACTGTACCAACATTAATTATTTACCCAGGCAACTTCCCACTCACCAAAAGGATTAGGAATAACAAGCAGGGTAAGGGGTGGCGCTGAGGGAGCGCAGCATGTTCGTAAAAAGGCAGCTAATCATGTATGTCTCTCCTGCCATGAGCCCTGTAGATTTCTGCCTTTATAAACTCTGTGGTCCAAGCGTAGGAGTGACCTTTGTTAAATGAACTTGGCAAAATGTCCTCATTCAAAAGCAAATGATCCGTTCTTCATTTTCAAAAGCTTTCGACTCTTCTTGGCTTATCAGGTTCCCGTTCAAACTGGAGGGGGAAAAAAAAAGGGATGTGAAAGCAAGGTAGTGGCTGTTGCCCGTCTTCTATTTTTCCAAGGTTTTGGAGCAGAGATCACACGTTTGCAATGCTGTGTGAGCTGCACACTTCTCAAAGGCGTGCAACTGGGAACTGGCATCAGACAGGCCGGCTACAGCACTGCTGTTCCCACTGCACGTACAGGGAACAAGGCTTCTCCTTCAGAAATAAAATCCGAACACACACCTAAACTCCAGTAACTGAACTCGGTGTTGGAAACCCACCTGTTTGCATTTCAGCAAGCAGCATATAGCTGATAAACGTTCTTATCATGCAGTGGGCTAGTTTAGAGAAATTTAAATTGTCCTCAAAGCATTTCGAGCCTTCCCTGACAACAGGGGAAGAAAACCCTGTGAAGTACTCAGGCATCATTAATGTGAAATGACCGACAGAAAAATCTTCAATTCTGGCTATGCAAAGTGAATCTACCCTGGTATTTACACCCCTGAAAATGAGCAGCCTGGTTAAGTGCTGCTTGCAGAAATGTTGAAATCTATTAAACCATTTAGACGTATGAAATTATTCGGGTTAATGAACGCCTCTGAACAGTCAGGCCAGAATCAAGAGACAGATTTTAGTTTGAAGATTCAGAATTATCTGAGTGGGAATTGATGTCTCTTCTACAGACAAATAGTGACAGTGGGTTTTGAAAAAAGCACCTCTTCCACATCTCCAGGGAACACACTAGTCAGACAGTGAGTCATTGTCTTTCTAAGCAAGAATTCAGTGTCCTTTCAGTAAAACAAATACATATATTTAGAAATAAATTTCATGTTCAGTAATAAAGTAGCAGTGCTAAAAGCAGCTCAGTTCTATTGACTTTGGAGCTCCCTGAGGTGAAGCAAGGAATGTGGTATTTGGCTTTCTGCCTTAAATGCACACGTGTGACTATGTGATGCCCACCTAATCTAAAACAAACAAATCCTACAAAAAGTTAATCTTCTTGTAGCTTAGCACTTTCAGTGTGTTTGGAGCACCGCCCAAAGAAAATCCAAGCACAAATTCTACAAACCAAATAAGTAATGCTGATTAAATATAACCATCTCCTACTTGTTGGGATTTAGGTCCTGAAAAGCATGAGCACGTTCAGAAGTTTAAAAGTGAAAAAACAGGGCAAACAAAACTTGGTCTATAAATTTAGGCCCTGGTTCTGCAAACCCACATGATCTGCAAATCAGTGGTACAGGCAGATGTGAACTAAGAAAACTGCTTGACATTCATAACAAAAAAAGGAAATGTTTCAATGGCAGCAGCTTTTTACCTATTTGAAATCCACAGCTGGAACTACAACCCCTGCCTCACATAAACTTGCTCTGAATTTTTTAGGCTGGAAAGCAGTAAGACAAGTAGTGTTTTAAAGGGAAAGAAAGTTTACAAGTGAGCCTCTGAGGAAGGGATCTTTACCAGATTTCTTTAATGGTCGTGTTCTCCTTGAGAGCTTCGCTGAGGTACTTCACCCCTTTGGCTGTAATTTGATTCTGTATAAGCCTAAAAAGAAAGCATTTCATGTCAAACTAACATGCAAACTAATTTGCAGCGCCTGCACAACCTACGCTCAGCCTGACATCAAGGAGCAAAGCTGTCTGCCACAAGAAGATGGTTATGATTTTATCCACGAGAATGGTACACAGTATTGGTCAAATGCCCCACATTTGAGTATTAGTTTTTTTCCTTTTAATCTTGCATGTGGTTGCATTCTGGAGATACTGAGCTTAATTACACAGCTGACAAATTTTTGCTAAGAACTGTTCACTAGTGGTACGAGATTGTGGTATTTGGACTCTCTGAGACAGATAAACCTCTTAGCTCTGTTTTCTTACTAAGAACACTGTGAGACATTTTTAAGTGATGTACAGAAAAATTCTGACTACAGACTCTGTATAGGCCTAGTGTTTTAGCAGTTATGGTCCAGAGGCTGCCAAATTCTCCTGTCTTGTTTATAAGACCAACAAGATCTTTGAAAAATAAAGCACTGATTTTGACTCCAGGATGAGCAGGTGCTAGTCCCAGTGAAGCCAACTTAGCATCTATAAATTATGTCTCATCTGAGTTTAGGGAAAAACAAAAGATACATAAAATCCTCAGGCAGTCCAAGTGACAAAGCAGTAGGTAGCTCTTATTAACCACTGTAGACCATCTCGGAGCTAAAAATGAAGAAAGGCCCATCATCTGCATGAGTATAAAAAGTCTCATCAGCCTACCCTAATTCAATTCTCACCTTTCAGTCTACCACGGTGAGCCCCATAGCTGTACCATTCCATGTGACTGGTTGCATGAATCCCTCAGGATTCAGGATTGGGCTGAAAATTGGGGTGTATTGAAAAATCTTTTAGGGAGGGAGGGAGAGAAATAGGTTTTCCCATTAAAGGACTTTTTACACTTGGTGAATGAATCAAAATGCAAAAGGTTCCAGTAGATTCTTTCAGTTACTGAAAGAAAAAGATTCTTATTCTGCCTCAAGTTCAACTATATTTAGGTCACTACTTTTTGGAGGTATCCACTGGTATAACCAACAAAGTAGGATATAAACTTGTCTACTCGCAGAAACCCTTGGACAGTACTGAGTCGTGGTAGAGACGCCTATTTAGATTACTATGCCTGCTTTGGCTGGGGAAAATTTCATTATGAATTCAAACCAAAAGACGCCTATTTAGATTACTATGCCTGCTTTGGCTGGGGAAAATTTCATTATGAATTCAAACCAAACTACTCAGTGAATTATATCTGCAGCTGTGCACAAAGAAATCAAGCACTTCCCCCCCTCCTTTTTATTTTCAGAGTGATGGGCACCACAGCTTGTGTTGCTTTCAAAAGAGGTTGCAAGTACTTGGCACCCATGACAACCAGCATGCTTCCTAAGGGGTGGAAACTAGGATTAATACAGGGAGTGTGCTAGACTGTGGTTAGCAAAGTCTTCATAAAGCTTGTAAAGGGACTCCATTTCTTATGCTCTCTTGATTGCTTGAAATGAATGGATGGCTATTTGTTTCACAGCCCGCATCTGCCCAACCCCATTCATCGACGGATTCTTGTGAATCTCTGGATTAGAAAAGCTAACACTGTGTTTTCTTAGAAGTGTAACAAGTCTCATTGTGATTGCTAGAAATAATCCCTGGTTTCCTGGGGATTTGTGCCTTAGAGATGAGTGTCTTGCATGAGTGTATTGCTAGCCCTAGAAGAAAGCATGAGACAAATGCAACATGTATTCAAGTGTCTGTCATGTAGGTTTTTGGTTGACGAGTAAGAACTGAGCTAGCTACTTTCATAGTATGATGAGAAATAGAAAGAAATATAATAACCTTATTCTATTGTAGCTGTCTGGTTATGTCTTTTTTTTTTTTGAAACCTTTGAGTTTGAGGCCAGTACTGTTCCCTTAATGAGAGGCGAAATCAGTCAGTATACTGTTTGAAAGTTACCAAGACACGCAAACAGCTTAAACTTTACCCTGTATGAAAGCAGGCTGAAAATTCTAGACAGCAGCTTTACTAACTTCCCGTTAGAACTGTCTACAACCAGTCAGCTGCATCCAGACCATGCACAGAAAGCTTACTGTGACCTACATAGACTTGGAAGGTGAAGCTTTAATGTAGTGACTGCCAAAGAGCCTGTGCCTCTGTGGAATGTAACTCACCATAAATGCACCAGTTTCTTGTTGACCTTCAGCATCTCTGCAAAGCTCATTGCTGCCTCATCATCCAGCTCGTTTTTAGTCAACCTAATTGGGAGAAAAAAATGTTCACTTAGGATGTAATTACTTTTCAGCCCCCTGTTTTTCCAGCTTGACTGTGACTTAGCTTTAGACAGCCAAAAGGCTGTTCCTGCCCTGAGCAATTTGTAAAGGCTGGACACAAAGAGATACTGAAGAGAAGCCCTGGAGGTAAAAAAGACAAGTATCAGATCTTAGTTTCTCTGAGCAATGTTCTAATGATACTTTCTCACGATGCTTTAGTGTCTAAAAGGTGGAGGAGGTGTAGTGGGAAAAGGTAAAGAGGTAGAGACAACACTGAAGAGGTGCAAAAACTGGGGACCAAGTACTTGACTTCAGATGACGGAAATGAGAGAAAATGGGGAAAGCAAGATGTAGGGAGCAGAGTAAGGCATGACACTGGGTCGTAAGAATATGTCCCAAAAGACATGTGCTGATGATGCATCACATGTCCACATTCTTCCAAAGGGATAACTTATAGCTTGCTGGTAGTGAAAGCACAGGGGATAAGGTCAGGCAGAGAAGGAGAATAGCAGGGCTGGTGGGATTGGAGAAAATAACATTAGGCTGCAGTTTTCTCTGGAGAAAGAATAAGAGGAGAAGTAGACCACACTGTCAATTACCAGAATATTCTCACGGAGTTGTTGTGTTGCATAGCTTCAGCAATACTTTTGCCTCCCTCTGTTGTGATGCCATTGAATGCGAGACTGTGAAGTAAAGATACAAACGTGTAAGAAACTTGGCTCTTCCACTGCCAAATACTTGTGAATATCCTGGATGATCTTCTTCCCAGTTGTACAGTTCAGCATTTGTTTGTTTCAGAGGCTCACATACTTTGCAAACCAGTAAGTCCTTATGACTTAGGAGTGAGAACAGCTCACGGGCTGCAGCCTGAGTGCAGGCCTGTCATAGAGGCCATCAGGTTTGCTGTCGGCGAGTGGTGCTCTTGAGGCTGACAGCAGAGTTGCACCCAGGGATTTTGAGAGTCAAGGCTTTAAGCAAGGACAAAAAGTTACACTTAGCAGTACATAGGTTTTTACATGTGTTTTTCATCCCAAGTCCCTGTACGAACTGGGCACTTTGTCCTTTCAGTCCTTCCGATGCACCAATACCTCATTCATCTTCCAAATACAACACCTTCTGCTGTGTATGGAGAGATGAGCTTGTAAATGCTTTCCATTACAAACCACAAACATTTCTTAGTCTGCCCTTCATTCTTTGAATAGACACTGGAAAAATCATCCAGTTGAAGTTATGTTCCAGGCTTTCAAAACCCAGAAAGCATCTCGCCCCTCAAAACAATTAAAAGTCTCAAAAAAGGTAGAAAATGGAATCAAGTAGCCAGTCCCTCCTAGCTTCAGCTGAAACTAGATATTCTTAGTCCAAAATGACTGGGCCTAAAAATGGCAAATAAAGTAAACTGATGCAGTAGGGATTATCTTCCCTTAATCTTCACATAAAGCTGCCACTGGTGCTAACTATGGATTCAAATCATGGAGCACGATTAACCAGTGGAAGATAAGAAATAAGCCCAAGTGCAAGTACAATGCAGAGCAGAGGATTCACACTGCACAAGTGCCCGCAAAACCAAGCTGGAGACAGCTTATTTTTGCAAACACATTCATCAGCATATTTGCTCTCTGAGAATCCCTGAGCTCTGATTCAAGTTCAGAATGTTTTCTTTTTAAGTCTGATGCATCTGGATGGATTGTGCAATTACGGGAAAATTACTATTTCAGATGGCTTTTAAGTTCAAATACATTTAGGTCACTGCACCTGTTCAGCTTTTAATTTTTAAACTCGACTATCCACTTGCAGAAAGGAGGACAAGACACCAGCTCTGAAAACCCTGGATCTTAAGTGGCAGCAATAAACTCTCCAGAGATCCCCAAACTCCCAGAGTATTTCTAAAGAAACTAGTGCCATATGCCACCTTGTGGGGAAACTAAGGAGCCTTGTTTGCTCCCTCACCGTGAAGGCCAGTGGACCTGGGAGACAAATGGAAAGGGTCACCCTGAACACAGTGCTCCAGCTGTGTGGAGGGACTCCAAAGGAGCAGCAGCTGCCTCAATATGCATCTTTAAACCCTCAGCCAGCATTTGGGAGTTGGGAAGGGGATGGGTTGTTTAGCAGTGCTGACTTCTCACTGTGCTGTACTTCCAACTTTTCCCACGTTAGGGCTTCCTGAAGGCTAGTTTGAGATGCTTCACTGTGCTCCAGTGAGAACTAGCATGAGCACTGAATGTGTGGTGGTGTAGCTCCACTGGAGTACAGGATGAGCCCAAATGTAAAAATGTCCCAGTCCCTACCAAGTTTATCCCCCTAAAAATTAATTTGTTTAAAGCTGCTGCACCTTTGCAATAGGAACTGTTAACACTGAGCTCAGTGGGAGACCAATTCTGTGACATCCTTCTGCTAGGGCTCCCAGATCGAAGTGGCACCCACTGACCATGTGCTTTCACAGATGCCAAGAACTCCGTGCAGCATGAGGGGAAGACGTGCAGACAGAGGAAAGGATGCCATCCTGCAGTGTTTTTAACTTGCTTAATGGTTGCACAGAGTTTTTTGACTCAATCTGGACTCTTGCTTGCACCAGAAGCCTCTTGGTTACAGCAAAGGCTGCAATACCAGGTGGCATTCCAAGCTAACACTTGGTGGGGAGAGTCATTGCTTCCCAGCATGATGGAAAAGCCACCACTACAATGATGCCTCGTTTCGACAGTGTCTTACCTCACGTTTGTTAACCTGGGGTGGTTCCTCAGGGCCTCTGCAAATGCCTTTGCTCCTTCGTCTCCAACTTGATTACCCCACATCCTAGTGGAGAGAGGAAACCAGGAGATATCAGTTGTGCTGCCCTACTGACTGTCGGCATTGCATTCTCCCTTTTTCTCTCCTCTCTCCTCCTCCCTGACTACTTCACAGTCTTTCAGGATTGTGAGACACCTGGCAAGTACCCTCCCTGCTGAGCCAGGTATGTTCCACTCCCTGCACATCACACCACCAGCCTCTGCTGACTCACCAGTACCCTAAGGCCACATCACAGAAGCAGCTCTAGGAGACAGTCTGCTGCAGCAGGAGTGCTTTTGGGAGCATCTTGCTGCACTTGGAAAACCCTCTGCAGCCCTCTACACTTACGTGGTAAAGGTGTCTTGAGGTCTTGTACAGTCAGCTGATGTGAGAAACCCACCAAGTCCTAAATCCTATAATTTTGTGCTCAGTATTTCCTTCCCGTATCCTGGCTGTGATTTTCCTGTAACCTGTTGGGCACAGACTGGCCTTTACACAGTGCAAAGTACAGGTCCTGGAAAGACTCCCCAGGTGCATAACTGCATGGGGGAGCCAAACGAGGTGAGTTTCTGAGGTGAACTACTCTACAGGCTCCCCTTCTCCTTCAAAATAGTCTGGTAAAATGGTTATAGCCAAGTGACATCTCCTCTCCCAACAGCTGCCAAGAGAAAGATCAGAATTTCACAAAGACAGTACAACGCTGGGCTCTTCCACACAATTGTGGAATAGTATTTCAAATGACAAAACAAAACAAGGCTTTAAGAGAAGCTAACACGGTACAGGCTGGAGAGATTTGATCAATAGTTACTAGGAGTATCTGATTAAATCCTTTCTATGCAGACTAACCACTTCAAAAATTCACCCTCTATTATGAGGTTTGACAGCACCTCTGGTGAGGTCTAAGTCGTTGGATTTTTTACAGAGATCACAGCTTGATGACTCAGAGCCACACTCAGATTGATGGGTAATTAGCTGGCAGCTCTTTTAAAATCAATTGAGCTTTGTGGCATCTAAACACATGGACTTCCAGTAAGTTCCCCAGAATTTCCTTGTCCTTCAGACCCAGTGCAGTTTGCTCTGTAAACATTGAATATATCTGTTTAAACATTTCTGTCCAAGCTATCCTAAATCCATTTGGAGTGATCATTTCCTCCACAGGAGGAAATAGGAGTCCTTCAATGAAATTACAGCAAGTACAGCACAGCAGACCCAGCTGTATGGACGTGTGCAGACTGTTCACTGTACTTCTGAAATGTTGTAGAACAGAATTAAAGGCCAAAAATCTGATTGTTCATATCCAATTTTCATATTTCAGGGTTACTATGATTTTCACAATGGCCAAACAGAGGTTTTAATGCCATGTGTTTAAGTATTAAATTCTAAGAAATAGGTTCTCCTCTAGAGTGAAAAGAGAAACTGGGATTTGCCAGAAGGGGGGTGAAATAAATAAAGTACAATAAATAAAACCTAGCACCTTTCCTGAGAAAGAGGGCAGGAACTAAAGCTTTAAAGTACATTCAGACCTCTCTACAATAATAGCAGACTCTCCAGTTAGGGACAGACTAGAGGTGGATGATGTGAATTCCTTTTTATCCTCTCAGATTGCAACTTTCTCGGGATGCGATGCAGAAGGTTTGACAACGTAAGAATGACACTCAATAACTAGGTACAGTGCCAATAGTCATAAAAGCACACAGACTTAAAAATAGACAGGTATCTCCAGAGGACCTGTGTTGCCATAAAGAAAGTGGCTATCTTTACACACTGTCCTCTTATTTGTTTGTCTCTCCTTTAAGGCTCGGTCAGAAAAGTGAAAAAAAAAAACAAACAGAAACCAAACCCCAAAACAAACATTGTGTGAACTGAAGAACAACAAAGCAGCTCTCCTTTTCCATGGAAAATGTGGCTGTGCTTCTATACTTGTTTGTTCTAATGCTGTTGTTGCGGGGGGAAGGAAGAGCAGGAGAAGAGAAGGTAAGAATGAAAAAAGGAATCCTGATGGATTTACAGATGCCTTGCCAAGATCAAGCCCTAAGGTCTGCTCCTTAGCACCAAACTTACCCGATTTCAAACATTGTCTTGCTCTTCTGGATGGCCTGGGCAAGGCACTTCCCTCCTTCACTAGTTATTTTGTTTGCTCCTATTCTGCACAAAATACATGAATTGATGAGGTACATCACTTCCAACTGTACAGCTATTGGAACATCAGCTCAGAAAGCCATACAAGTAATTAAGGCTAATTAACCCTGGAGGCTAGCTACAGTTGTCAAATATTAACCTAGAGCAGAAGAATACAGACACATGACCTTTGACTAAAAGACAACATTTATGTTGTCTTTTGCTTATTTTGCATGTCAGTGCTCCAAATCAGAAATATTACAGTAGAATCTTGGGTTTGGTGCTCAGTGTGTTAGAAATGAGCTTTAAGAACTGATCCTCAAGGCAAGGACCCTGGACTAGTTTTTAGTATAGCTCATAGTATCAGCAGTTGCTACAGAGCACATGAATTACATGCAGCATGTTTCATGATACCACAGGAAACAGAATATTTCTTGATTGTGTGGTTTCAGGGGACGCTGCAGCTGACAAGCACAGGCTGCGATAATTTCGAGTCTTTCTCTTCCAAGCATGGGCTGTAGGCAGTGGCACAGGTCAATGCAGCAGTGAGTGTCTCTGGCTGGCATTCTACAGAAGGCCTTTTCTATTTTTAGCCTATGTGGATATCAAATGGCTGGAGTTCAAGGAAGGGGTAACTGCGTATAGATGGATGTAAAGAACAGATCAAACTCCAAAACCCCTCAAGTCAGTACACTGACATAAAATTGGCTTGTTTGAGTGACTTCAGGCACATGAACATGCACTCTGTCTCGAAATAATTGCTAGGATTACTATGAGGGTTGAAAGTAACCATCTGTCAACAGGCTTTTTTTGTGAAAATGAGATTAAATAAGCAAAGCACCGTGTCAAAGCAGCAAAAGAACCAAAGTGCTCTTGGGTTTCAAAACTCTGCAAATATTTCAAGTGTGAAGGATGTGGCTATAGTGTGGTTTCAGATCAAGTTAGTGGTAGAACAAGGACTAGAACTCAAGAGTCCCTGGCTGCGAGTTGCTACACTCATACCAACAGGTGACATTGCTGCAGTTACCTCTGTTTTCTGCTATGGTCACAATTAAACCACTGGTTAATGATCTACCTTCATGTCAAACCAGTACTGTGCATGGCCAGACACTCTTATCTGGGGAAGTTCCAGGAATTAAAGGGAACAACTCACCATGTGAATTCGGGGAATTGCAGAGCTGAGATACGGCACCAGCACAGCCTGACTCCAGGGGCCCATGAAAGAGCAGATACTAAGAAGCTTGGTACTAAATCCAAGGGAATTCGCCTACTGGAAGAGGCAGCAAGGTTCATGCAAAACTTACGCCTTGCTCAGTTGCTCAGACCGGATTTAGGTAAAGAACAGGTCTCAGGCACTCCTTTAACTTACTGCTATATTCCAGAAAAGACTATGGATTCAAGCGTTTCCCCTGCTGCCATCCACTGCTAGACTACTGCAAAAGAACATGCAACTGCAGCCGAAGTTGTATTTTATTTCAAATACAATTTTTATCTTTTTTTCTACTCTCCCTTGCCTTTCAAGTTGCTTTACCTGGAGAAAGGAAAAAAAGATCCAACATACTTAACATATTCCAGGCTTGAACATTCTTCAATTAGTTTTGCAACATATTTGGCTCCGACATCAGTGATTTGATTGCTGTATAAGCTTAAAGAAAGATCACATTGGTAAAAATAGGTTATTCCTGCTGTTAAATATTTACAACCTGAATATTTTATGATGCACACATAGCATCTATCTTTTTTGTATGGCTTTGTACATATTCACAGTTGCTTGTATTTCTATTTTGATATATAATTCATATTGTGAAGGGCTAGATAAAAAATACAAGGAGACCAGACTGCAAATCATGAGAAAATATTTATATAAATTTTTTAATATTAAGTCTTCCCAAGCAAACAAAGCTTTCCTTTATTCCTCTGTTAGTAGAGAAATAATATTGCCAGAAGATAAGTCAAAAAAGGAGACACCATAAAGTACTTTTGGTCTTTTAAAAGTCATAAAATCCCCTTGTAAATATTACTGAAGATCAGATACCTGAGCAGTTGTACTTACATTAGGGCACTTGAGGAAGAAAGCTATTCTTGGTATTCATGTTCACCTTTCAAAAAGTTATTTTTACATAGCTACTTAACCAAGAGCAGGCACTCAGAGCTAGCATGCCTTCCAGCTTTAACTTGATTAAGAACTAATTAAGCTCTTGAAAGAAATTGGTACCATGAACAAGACACATGAAAATCTATGTTCCTGATACTACTCTCTACCAAGCTGTATCTGCTTTGCATAGTTGAAATAAATCAGTAGGGAAAACAACAGGTTCTAGCTACAAAGCAAACGATCTCTTGCTTGTATTCTCTTTCCCCTCCACATCAGAAGGCTTTAGGTATAAAACTATAATGCCTACACAGTTCAGTAACCTGACAGTAGTCTGCACTGTGGCACAGAAGGGTCTGATGGAGGCCACCCAGTGAGGCAGTGTGATGGGAGAGGAAGCTGTGGACCGCAGTGAACTTTTACAGGGTAGCAGCTGAATAATTTCTGACACAAAATGCTGCTTCACTTATGGCCAGTAAATGAGGAGGCAGCTGTAATTTCCACACCACCTCTGCTGCATCAGTACTGTCAGCACTGGAGTTTTATTTTCTATTATCAATATCTAGGGTTCTGACCCCAAATGGTACATACCCCAAGAAAGACACAATTCGGTACTTGGAGAGTTCTTCATACAAGATCCTTACACCGTGATCTGTGACCTGATTTACACTGAGCCTGGAATGAAGGGAATGAAAAGAAACTTTAAATCAATACAGATTACAAGTGTTCATCACCCATGAGTTAACAAATGACTGGAGGTTTATGCATTTTCCTCTGATAATTTAACAGGTTCGTATTAAAAGCCGTAAAGGGAAATGTCAGCTCGGTTTCATATGACTTACTTCAAAACCAATAAAAACCAGAAAGCCTCAAATCTCCAAGGCAATGCTCTGGAACCTTTCCATAGAACTGAAAACAATAACATGTAGGAAGTCAGACACCAGATAAACATCTCACCTCCTCCGGCGCTTATTGTGATTTCAGGAAGAAAGTCTGCCTAACACCCTAGCAGAATCAAGCTGTGCAGACTGCTACTCTTGCAACCTTCTCTCTGAGTACCTAGTAAAAGCCAGGCATCTTGAAAGTCTCAACACATTCAGGCTTCACAGAATAAAGATTGTGAAAAGCCCTGGCCAGAAAATAGAACTGCAGTCCCATGAGTGTGCTAGATGTTTCTGATTTTGTTGTCCCAGCTAGACATGAAACAAATCAATGTCAGTCATTTACAGAATAAAAATGCTTCTTTTCACATTTGGGGAGTTTTTTGGTTGGTTTTGTTGCTTTTTTTTGGTAACTTCTCAAGCTTTTTCACCTTGACTAAATGGTTCAAGTGAAGTATTCCAATTCTGATGAATCACATTTTCTGCATAAAGCTGTCCCTGGGAAAACATTTTGATCAGCTTTAGTTTCTACACAAACTCAGTAGCTGAACATTCACTGCTGAGAGGCCCTTATCATCAACAGCCTCCCTGGCCTTTACTAGTTAGTAACTGGGTCCAATTGGAATGCCTGAGCACACAGGAGAAATCAGCCAGTTTCTGCAGATCAGAACAGCCTGCATCTTTGAAAGGGATGGTTTAACTGCTGAAAACATCATTTCCTGGCCTGCAGAAACTGGTCATTAGAAATGAAAGTCCTAACATCTGAAGATCCATAAAGACAAAAAGGCAACCTAACAGATGGGTTTGGTGCCAGGTATGGTGCTAAGGTCATACTGGGTGTGGCATAATTATATGATAGGAACAAAGAATGAAAGGCTGGCCTTTTCTTCTTTTTTTTTTGGTTTTAAATGTTTATGCATTTTCCCCTGAAGTTTCCTCATTGCTTTCTCTTGGGAGGCCAGTCAATTTGCAACTAACTGGAAAAAACAAGAGTCACTTGTTTTGATTTAGTCTTAGAGAAAAACAAGGCAGAGCACAGCCAAACAGGAGGAATAAATCCAGTTGTTACAAAAAAAAAAATTTTTGTGGGCTGAAGGAGTTTTAAAAAAAGATACATATGAAGTTCCTGATTTTCTGCACCTAAATGTTTGGACAAATTAGATACAGTTACATAGCACAACCTCAAAAGGCTGGGGGTGAAACAATATGGTCTGTGATGTTGGAGAGGCAGTTAGTTCTCCCTGACCACACCAAGCCATGTCCTACCTCCACATCACCTCAGGGAAGCACCACCACCTAAAGACTTCAGCTACATCTTTTCGCGGAGTACTACATGATAGCTTTTTGTTCTGTGAAAGCCAGACATTTTGGCAGGATGGAGAGGCAAGAAATTCAGAGCTTTTGATCATAGGCTACTGTGAATAATAGATCCTTTCTTTTCCCCATCCACCAAAGGGCAGAGGTGGGTTCAGGCAATCTTCAGATAATGGGGGACGTATTTCTGTTTCCTTTCTTCTCCCTTAAGCACTTTCTTTCATAAAAATCCTCTTTTGAGACAAAACAATTTGAGGTGAAGCTAACTAAACCTACAGGTTTAAACAGTCCTGGCTTTTAAGGACTTCTTATCACCCTCTCCATTTCAGTTTCCAAATTCACAGCTTATCCCTTCTCCTGTGACTGCATGAATGAAGATTTCAGAAGACTGGCAACTTTAACTTCCAGCAGCAGTACTCCCCATCTTTCTCCACTTCTGAGATCAATTCCTTCAGCTCACCAGCTTCACCTTGTGAAACTGACCAAGGATAAGCAAGGACCTGCTTACAAAGACTCCTACCTGATCACTGCGAGCTTGCTGAAAGAAGGCAGCAGCTGTTTTATTCCGTAGTCATTGATGTTGTTGTTGTCCAAATCCAGAGCCAGGCGCTTCCGAAAGTGATGCAGCACAAAGGAGATGGCGCTGCAGTCGGCAGAGTAGGCATTGCAGTACGCCAGCTTGATGTAATTGGCGTGCATGCGTTTGGCAGCCAACTTCCCCACCTTCTCACTCTGAGTCTCGTAAAGGCACCTCAGCATCCAAACAAAGTTGGGCTGGACCTGGATCTGATTGTAGCTTTTAAGCCTGGACCGAGTGTAGCCTTTCAGGTGGGATTTCATGCTCTCCCCAAGGTATGTGATGAGTGTTTTTCTCTTCCTCTTAAGGACTGCAGGTGAAACTAAATGCCTAAAGAGCTTCTGCTTGGATCCAGAAAGAAGGCCACAAAGAAACATGTTGGTAAAATTAAAGTGTTCTTTATTTTGGAAAGGATTCTCCCCTGCTAGTTGTTTCTTCAGCCAAGGGATGCGAAGGCAAGTAGGCTGGGCAGTCTCAGTGAAAGAGCATTCATTGAAGAACTCAAGTAACTCCTTGGTGCCCACTTTCTCCTCAATAACCAAAAACAAAGCTGTGAAAAAAGACTGAAGGGTTGAGTGCAAGAACTCGTAAGTGGCCTGACTGTCACAGCCACTGTAACCTTTAACTGTCCTGAGAAAGCCCAATTGCAAATCTTCTTCAGAGATGTTCGCTGAGGAGACCTCTTCCTGCTCAAAGATAAAGAAAGAGTTCTCCATCCCTTTGTATGCCATTTTACCCAAAGCTAGAAGAGTTTCCTTTCTGGATTTGAACATCTCTGCTTGGCTCCTGATGTTGTTCTTCAGCAAACCTGTTTTCAGAGATCGGTTCAGATGAACTTCAATCAAGAGCAAAAATACGTCTGTCAGTGTAACAGAACTGTCTGGAAGCTCATGGCTGTCAAACATGGAATAGAAGTGTTCATAGCATTTAAAGATAATCCAACAAAATAAAGGCACTGAACACAAACTGCAGAGATTGGGGTTAGATTCCAACTGGTTCAATACCAGTGTTCGTTGCTGCTCATCTCTGAAAAACATAACAGTGTATTCCCTCAGGTTACTGCTGGAGAAACCACGGAGCAGCACTTTCTTTTTAATGATGTTTCTTTGGATCTCAGTTCCTGTCCTTGCTGTAAGAATTTTCCTGGATCCCTTAAGAAGCTTTCCTCTGAGAAGGCTTACCAGCAGTGCCAAGGGGTGAATGGGTTCATGGGGTGAACATATCTCAGGTACACTACTGAGATCAAAGTTGGAATAGATCTCATCAAAGCCATCAAATGTGAAAAGAACTGTGTGAGGGAATTGCAAGATGTGATGGAACACTTCTGTGGGGTCCTGGTCTGGGTAGCAATTATATTTGAAGAGCAGGTCTTTCAAACATATGGCTTTATCTTCCTTAAAGCAACTAAACATCCTACATGGAAAACGAAAGAAAAATTTGGCCCCTATGTCCAATTTTTTTTTGGCCCAAAGGCTTTGAATCTTCTGCAGCAAGATGGATTTTCCAATTCCTGCATCACCATAGACATAAACAGTCTCTCCATCTTCATTAATTAGTCCAACTGTATCATCAAAAAGGGCTTCTAATTGACCCACATGGCCAAGACTCTCATTGGTAAAACTGACCAGTTCCATGATGCTGTTAGAGTAGATTTCTTCAAGCAGCATCTCCTCCCTCTGAGTGTACGACATAACAAACTTGGAGTCCCGTCCCAGTTCATATCTGAGTTTCTGGCAATACCTGCTAACTAAAAAGACAGTGAACTACTATTAAAAAGCCTATGTAGACAATGACCCACCTCTTTGGGAACTCAGAGTGGGTAATAAGCAAAAGTAATTCTCATGTAAAAACGGTTATTTGGCAGATTAGTTCTATTCGTGCTGCCATCATCACTCACTGGGGAAATTCAGGTGCTAATGAAAGGTCACTTGAGTCACCACTTCCTGAAAGCCAGTACTGATGCTGCATTGGCTTGAGGGGCTGCTACCTTTCATCTGAGACTCAAAGCCAACACTCTGACCCTTTGTTAAAGGCTGCTTTACTTGCTGCAAAGGTTTGTTCAACTTGTCAGTCACTGATTAGCCTTTACACTTTATTTATATTCTACCTGCAATTCTATCAGGTGGGTGCTTATTCTTTCCTGACCTGTTTGGTCACTTATATTATTGTAAATAGAAGGCATGTATTTTAGAAACCAAGTCTCAGACACCTCAAAAGGTTTTTTTAAGACGACCAAAAAAATGAGAGTCTCAGTTATCGTGCAATGTTGGCTTGTGTTTTTACTGCACCAGAAGCTTCACTTCAGATGGGGACAAAGTAAATCATGCATTTATGTAGTATGGAAAAACCTCTCAGGAGGAAATAATTTATTTAATAATTATTTATTATTAAACTCTGACTTTCAGCATAGCTCATCATTTAGGATCACAGAATAATTCAGGTTGGAAGAGACTTCAGAAGATCTAGTCCTACTTCCTGCTGAGAACAGGATCATTTATGACATCAGATGAAGTTACTCTTCTGTCACCAGATTGGAGCTTCCCACATAGCAGGGTAGTTCTAAGGGAAGGGATAGAGATGTATGACCTTACCTGGATCTGTATTTACCACAGGTTTTCTACAAATATTCTCTGAAGGCTCGTAACCTATTTCATCCAGCCAAGGCTGAAGTTCATAGTAAGCATCAGTGACTTTCTGGAGGACATAGATGAAATATTCTGAAACTTCTTCTCCCTTGCTTTGAACCAAGTCTAGAATTTTGCGAACCTGAAGAAACACCACATGAAAGATCATTGATACACAGCATTTGATGACAGTAACTCCTGTGACTGCTTTAGGATCCTTTCTGGACTGGAGCAGGGGACAAAAAACAAAACTGGTACTTCAAAAACATGAATGCAAAATCTAGCTCTGAATTTGAACCATCATAAAACTCAATTGCTGCTTGTATTTGGATGTTGCAAGAGAGTTGGCTCTGAAGGTCTGAACTTGTAGCTAAATCATATGCTAACCAGAAACAAAACGGATAAATACCACTCCTCAAGAGGGAACCCAAAGGATTTCCTCAGCTTGGCTAGATGGTATATTTTAAATCCTTTGCTGGTTAAAATAATAATAAAAAAGAAGTGGTTTCTCAATGCCTTAAATTCACCCTCTGTTTCATAAATACTCCAGTCACATTTGGGTTTACCTCAGGATCCATCCAGATCCAGAGCATAGAAGGCAAAATCTCCTTCTGGATCTTAACCCTGAGCCAAAACTCTACAACTCTTCCATTTAACATAATAACTCAGTTCTTCAGGCTCTCTCTGTGCAATGGCCTTGTGGCCTGCAGCTGTCACCAAAACTAATGGCTACCAGGCAGTGGCTGGAGCAGTTCAAGACCAAGTGTTACCTCTACAGGCAAGAGTGTGATCTCTGTGCACCAAAACAGGGCAATCCTAGTACAAGACCCTCCACAATCATCTGGGGGCACATTTGGAATGTCTGGGTCCCTTGGCTAGAAATGAATGAAGAATTCAGTCCTAAACCAGACAGAGACTGTGGTCTCTTGTGAGCTTAAAGCGGGGTGAGGTACATGCAGCACAGCAAACACATGGAGCTTTTTTTGACAATTTGTATGCTCTAAAAAGCAATTTTATGCCTTCCAGAGAAGTTCCCACAGAGTCCACTTCACTTACACTACTGTGGCCTGCTCTCTTTCTCTGCTTAGACTCCTCATGCATGGCCTCCCCCTCAGCTTTGTAATAACAATCATGTATATTATGCTGAACAATAAGAAATTGAGATAATCATACAGTGTGCATTTATTCAGCTTTGACCCTATACACAGAGTGAGCACTGTGTTACCATTTCAATGTGCCAGCAAGAATGATTATTTTATGAAAATCTGCACTGTTAGTGAAGTCCAAGGTCTCTGAATTTTTTATGGTCTGCCTGCCCCTAACTGTGACAGCATTCTGAAGCTGCATGATTGTTTGGTCTGGGAAACAATCTCCTCATCTGTTTATGATGCAAAGAGCAATTGTGTACATGGTAATTTTCTCCTAACGAAAGACCAGGAAATAATTTTTACTCCTGATGTCCAAAGATGAATTAAAACCCCAAGTGTGCCAGGATATATCAATTTTCCATAACATTTACAACATACCTAGGTCTTTTAAGAGAAAGGAAGGTGTGCATATGGACAACACACAGTCATTAACTTCAAAAACAATGTTTAATTTCTGTCTCTCCAAAAGCAGGATGAGCTGTCCCACAGCATCCTAAAGCAGATTCTCCTTGCAATACTCTCATACCCATTGTGGACACCTCCTTATCAGAGTACAAAGCTGCAGCTGGGAGGGACAGAACAGCAATTATCACCTTGCTCATTCTTACAGCTGCCAACGGGCACTACAAGCAGTGCCAGCCAGGCTGGGAAGAGATGTGCTGGAGACACATATCCAGAAGGAACATGATGAGGCAACTCCAAAATAACAAAGACCACAAAATACACTAGATGTAAAATTGCCAGAAAAACCCATGAAGGCTCCTGGTAAACTAAAAGTAGCCAAAAGCTCAGTGGCTAGTGAAATAAAAATCATACCTTATCTGCTTGAGTAGGAAACTGGACAACAATCTCTGCATCTTCAGTGGAGAAGTACTCGTTCTTAATCAAGTTATCAATCAAACATTGAGTGTTTCGGATTCTACTGACCAGGAGCTCTCGGTGTACCTTCAGCAAAGCAATGAAGGATGGAGGGCTTGCTCCTGGAGGTTTTTTCACAGAAATGTCCCTGTTAGCACCAAGTTGGCCTTCCATAGTTGAGGTAGCGAGAAGCTGCTCCACCAAGCCTCATCTCTGAGAAACTGTCCACTTGTGGTGAGAGGTCAGCTTGGAGTTAACTTCAGGAGAACAGGAAAGCTGCCTTTCACAGTACTGAGCCTGTAAAATGCAATTGCACAGAACCTCAATTTAAACCTTATCCTATGCACATATACCCTTCGCCTAGACGTCTAGAGAATGCTTCCAACCTTTGGGTAATATCATGACCAACTTTTTAAAAAAGTTTCTTCCTCAGGTAATTCCATTTATTTGGCCAGGTTTTGGAAAAATAAAATGTCTAGAATAGGCAGTCTCCCTTCTGTACCAGTACTTTACTGTGCTTTTGCCTCAAACAACACCCCTGGCATCTGCTTTATTAACTGCCTGTTCTTAGTGCATAATTTAATATTTTTTATTAGCTTTTCATGTTTCAGTAGACAAAGGAGGGCATCTGTCCAAACATAATCTGGACAAGGAAATAAATGGAATAAAATTATACTTCATAGCAATTAATTTTGTAGGAGGAATTAATTTATAGTAGCGATCCACTTTGTTTTTTCTTTGTTACAACAACAGACCCTGTATACAGTGTTAACAATATGATACCTGTCCCTGAAAGCAAGGCCTTGTGAACTCTGAGATAGTTTTAGCTAAACTAAGGAAAAGAATTTAGCTTCAGGGCACCTTGTTTGAGAGGCAGTAGTGAGACTGTGGAAAAACCATTGATCGGCTGTTCCTGTTAAGAAAGCAAAGAATAAAATGCTGCTAAGTGAAAAGGCTGCTGTAGATTTCAGAGCTACCAAACCTCTTAGGGGCACAGGGCACTTCCTGACTCCTAAAGCTATTGGTTCTGACATGTAAAACAGGGAATGTATCATTGCACTGGTTTATCTTATCAAGTTCAGGTGAGTAACTATAAAAGTTAAAAATAATTTTTCAGAATCTGAAAAAGTATTACAGAAAGGACTAAAATAAGTGATTATCCACATACAAGATCCCATCTCTTATGACACACAAAAATTCTGGACCTCTCCCTGAGCAGGAATTGCACAGAATAACTGAATTCAGAGACTCTTTCCTCATATGACGAACTAGGCCTAGAAGGTGGTATCACAACTCAAGTTCTTTGGGCATCCAACTCACCTCCATCTTCATAAAGGGAAGAGATTGCACACAATACAGCTTGTAATGAAGACACCAATTTAAACCCTGTGGAAACACTTAGGTTTGAATGCCTGACCTCAGACCCTGTACGTACACCTAGAGACTAAATATGGTCCTTTAACTCAGACAGCTATGGGCTCAGGAAACCCTCTCATTGTTGGAGAGATGTTGTTTTGAAAACCATACTCTTTAGCATGAATGCTCTCTCCTTGTCTGCAAATACATATGTGGTGTCTGTCCTTATTCTCTACACCATTTCTTGGGAGCTCTTTTCAGATGGCCATTTATTCACATTTTTCTCTACAAGGCAATAAAGCAAGAGAAATCAGGATCAGACTGCTCTCTATTGTAAAGCAGGGGTTTTTTTTGATTGCAGCTGATACACCATTTAGCAGGTATGAAGTTATATTGTAATTACAATTCAACAATAAGTTCATTTAGGTACTATTTAGGTACAAACTTGCACATATGATTTCCTATGCAAAAATCAAATTTCTTGCAAGATCACAACTGAATCACCTCCACACAGACAATGAAAATTTGCGTGATCAACACAAATTACTGTCATCCCCCAGTAACACTTAAAACGTACTGTGGATTCAAGGGATATTTGGAAGAATGTTTTTAGATTCTGATTACAGTCAGATCAATGAAAATAAAAGATGAAGCCCTTCTTCTACAATTCTGTAAAGGGGCTAACTCTGATGCAATAAAATTCTCACAAGACGTTTACAGTGATGGCAAACTTTCCGAACGCTGCCCAGATAAGCTATAACTGATCCCTGCCAGCTCACAGGTTCCTCTAGGTGACCTGTTACTGGAACAAACTCATTTCCATGGGTTTTCCGTATCAGAAGCTGCAGTCTGCATCAGTAAAGCTGCTCCCGCTTGATGCTGGAGAAAGACACAGTTTTATGGATGTTTAGACCGCATTTTAGTGATACTACCTATCTACACCCACGACTGCAGGGCAAATCATCTTAGCTCCTCTGAATTCCCAAGAGGTCCTAAGTTATGGTTGCTGACCTGAACGGCTACAGATAACTGCATTAAGACTTGGGCTCTCCAAGGGCTGCCAGACCAGGCAAATCTCCAGCACAACTGCTTTGGATCACATCCAACTCCAAAACCAGCAAAACTCTTTCAAACAAATGGAATGTAACCTAGTGATCTGACTTTCTTACCACCTCAGTAACTGACAGCATCTACTCAGACATATTAACCTTTCATTACTCCATTCTTATGACCCACATGATGACGTGGCCGATTTCTGAGTCACTCAGCTTCCTAGAAGCCACACTGGCACATCTCTTTGTTCAGGAAAGTTCATTCTATAAATGAACTCTACCATGAAGGTCAAACAATGTTGAAAACATCATTTACTCTAAAGATTTTGCAGGCTTTTAGTTAAAGAGACAGAGTTACCTTAAAACATGCAATAGAAATATTGACCCTTCTCTTTCAAGGTACTGCATCTGCCCAACATTCCCTGGTTACTTTGGCTGTTCTAGGACCACGTTATTCTAACGCATTTTCTTTCTTCCTACTTTGTGAGAATAACTGAGACAAACATTCAGAAAACCATAAGAATGAACCATAAGAATTCTGTCATGTGTACAAAACAAATAGAAGTATTTTTTTCACTCTTCCAGTTTCATCTACAAAGAGGGTAAGAAAAGAAGAAGAAATACAGCAGCAGGACAGAAGATGGAAAATATGGAGTGATCAGAAGGTCTCAAAGATGTCTTCCCTGCATCTGACTAAGTCCAAGTCAGTACAAAACCTGGTTGCTGCTGGAAGGGGTGTGCATACATATGCTGCAGGACAGAACATGTTCTCTTTCGCACAGGTTGATCTGCAAGAGAGTGAAGAAACAAGAAATGTGTATATATATATGTGTATGTATGTATGTATAGAAAGTAAGGCTAAACATTGAGGAGAAAAGGAGAAAGAGGAAAAATGTCAAGCAGGAAAGTCAAAACTGGCAATATGAATTCTGTGTATAATGACCTACTCAGTGATATTTTCAGTGACAATATTAAATTTAAGGCAAAAATACACACCACCCAGTACTGGAGTACACAGTACTTTTCATCAGTCCCTTTTAATAAGAAAAAGTGGAAATTTCCATCATCCATAGGCTAAGAAAATGCCACATCAGATGAACAGCTGAACACCTTAAACAGTGCTGGAACAGAAAGACTTCCTGCCACATGCAGTAAAGAGCAAGGCAGGTATGTGCATGTTTGTAGCAAAGTGTATCAGCTCTATGAAGAAACTGAGACTACTCAGACTAAGAAAACCAAAAATTTTCTACAATAGCAGTTCCAGGAGCAACAGCAACTCTAAAAGTCCTTCCTGATCAGCATAAGAAATATGCTTATTCTTTCAGAGAAGCACACTGCCTGTAAGATTCTGACATATATGGTTCTATTTTGCTAGGGTGTGAGAGGTTTTTGTCATTGTTGGTTTTGTTTTTATTGTTTGGTGTGGGGGGTGTCTTTTTGTGTGTGTGTTTTGGAGGTGTTGTTTGTTTTTGTTTGTTTTGTTTGGTTTTGTTTTGTTTTTTAAACGTGCTGCCAGTGTGTGACACCATGAGGTCTCCAGCAAGGCCTTCACCTCTCTGTCTGCAAAGAGTCCTGGCTTCCATGGTGCTAAATCATGAGTTTTTTCAGTGAGGGATCACAGGATTACAAAGTACTAAGTCTCTTGTTAAAGCATCTGTTAGTGCTACAATGTTAGGTTATACATCTGGTATATTTAAAGGTAAATGCTAATGCAGCTTATAAATAGGCATTGAAAACATTTCCTTGCTAGAGTGCATACAGTATGCTTTGCCTTATCTCGAGCACTCCAGATGCTGGATTCAATTCCAGTACAATTCTTGTGACTGATGTTGCATCAGTCATGGGAATGCTTTTCAAGAAGACTGGGACACACACCAATGTGAGACACATTAGTGCACTTATCAAGGGCTAAGAACATCCACTATTGAGAACTACTGCCTTATTTCTGGAACCGTTCCATTTCTAAAATGGCTAAAATGAATAAAATAATTTTTCTGAAAGCCACCTTAAGGCCCTTACAAGTTGTGGTAAGGACAGATCACCTATTCTAACAGCAACAGCTTGTGAACACACCTATTTAGAGAAATGAGCAAGAGAAAGGGAAAGATTTGTAAGCTTGATAGAGTAGCTGAAACAGCAAAACACCTAAAGGAGAATGGAGGCAGACAAGAGAGATGATACCTCAGCAAGGAGGGCGTCTAATATGGGGAGACAACATGAGAAACACTCATGGGGGAAAGCCTCCAATCTGGGAACAGAATAGACTTCTTGTTTCTGAGAGGAAAACTAAAGAAACAATTACTTACTCAAGAGGATGCCAATGATGTTGGAGAGGAAATTCAGTTAGCCCTTTTGAGGACAGCAGTGTTGGTCAGGTGAAGAATACAGGAAACAGAGTAGAGGAAATTAAAATGAACCAGAGAGCAGAGTGCTGGCCCACCAGTTGTAAAAGCAAAGAAGGGCCTGAGCAAATGAAGTGCTGATGGGGTTTGAAGTGATATGAGAAGCCACATCAAGTGTGGCAAGAGATGCATATCATAAACCTGCTTAACTGAGAATAACAAAGAGGAAGCAAGATGGGAGGCAGGCCAGGGATAAGGAGGGAAATGAAAAAGGGAAATGAAATTTGTCACAGTAAGAGGTATGGTAAAAGCACCAGTGCTTACAAGCAAGGTTTTGTATAACCCATGTGAATAAGCTGCAGAGGTGCTGACGGCCCATGCATGAAGGCATTGGCACTTTTATCTAGTGTTTCTTCTGAGTTCCCTCTATTCTCAATATTGTGCAAGCATATATACATTTCTAACTTTCCTGGCCCTGTCCTCCTCACATTCCTATTTTCACAAAGCTCTCTTGCTCTTCTTCTAAGAAAACTGATCTGCTTGTTCGACTTCCAGTGCTACAAATGGCCCCATGGCAGCAAAGAATATACTGGTTCATCACAACAAGGTCTTATCAAATGTAAGTGCTGTAGATAAAGGGGCTGAAGAATCTTGCAGAATAGATAAAAAACATTTCCACTTCTGGGTCAACTAGGGAACTGACTCCTTGTTGTGCTGGTTGCTCCCCAGGAGACTTTGTAGGATGAAGCAGTAAAGGCAATACAAGAAGCAAATTGGTAAACAACTGTCCCTTAAAGCAGTTGATTCAAGACCAAACTAGAATATGTCTGAAGAGCTGAAAACTCAGTTAATAATACTTCTTCGGTAGCCTTGCTATTCTGATGAAAACTGTTCCTCTAAATGGTATATGAAATAAAGTCTTGTGCTACTTACCTAGGTGTCTGCAGCCAGTATCTGGAATATCTTCAGGATTTTCACAGCACCTAGTAGCCAGCTCTGGCAGGACAACAGTGAAGCACACACAGAAACCTCAGTGCCAGTCCAGGGCTAGTGGAGTCCCTGTTGGCATAGCCTTCTGTCCACAGTATTCAAATTGCAATTATTCTTCGAGAGGTAGCTGTATGAAAAAACAGTGCTCCATTTCATATGAAAGTCTGTGCCCTTTGTGTCTCCAAGTCAGATTTGTTTCCTGAGAAGAGCTGTTTTACAGTGACAGCTACCCCCCTGCAGAGTCATTACAGCAAGACGAGAAATGAAGACTTTGCCATGCTTGGTGATCTGGACTCTGTCAGATCAGTCTAAACTCAACTTTTTGCTATCAGTGGGAGAGACAGAAGAGAGACTGATTTTCCACACCTTATTTCGTGTGTGCCACAGCAGTCAGTCTTTGACTATAAAAACTGAATTTCACACAACCTATTTTCATACAGCAGCTCTCACTTTTAAAAGAACTTCAACAATTTTACTATTTTACTATTTTACTTTTACCAGTAAAAAGCATGCAGAGATTAGAGACAAATGGGCACATAAAAAGTCTGCATGCTTTGATGAGAAGCAATGCAATGTATTTCCCAGAGGTACTAAAAAATCAGTCTTTCGTAGTAAAAATGGTGCATTGGTAGAGCTTGTGCAGAGTCCCTGTACTGATCATAAATTGTTCTGTTTCTGTGAGTTAAAGCACACTCATCAAACCCCAGTTCACAATCTCTGTGTAACTATCATCACTGATGCTACATGTCAATAAATGGCTCTGGGAGCCATTTGTTAACATCATGTTTGTGTAAATCCATTACAACTCGTGTGATCTTGCATTGCTCTGGGGTCACAGAGATCAGCATCTTTCAGTATTTTTTTCCTCCCTCCCCTCTCTCTCTCTCCTCTGACTGTAGCATAAGCTTTAGTAGCCATCCCTAGGTATTTGAAGAGCAACAGATATAAAAGAAGAAATTATTTCTGCCTCCATCTGGTAAAATGACAAGCTCTTGTTTAAAAGGCACAGGCTTTGACAGAAATATTCATATCCCTCACAGGTTTCGTTACTACATATTGTAACAGATTACTTTGTATAGAAACAGAAATTTATATACAGTGTTTGGATGCATCAATAAGCCCCTGCCAAAAAGATTTTATGTGGTTTTCTGATAACTCCCTTCTGGTGGGAAAACTTCAATAAATAATGAGAAGCCTCTACTAAAAAGGAAAGAAATTTTCTCTAACCAAAGAACTCTTGGGGTTTTTTTTTAAGAGATAGCAGAGGAGGGGGCAACTTAATGCTGTCTATAAAAGTGGAACTGCTTTTCTACTGTTACTTACTGTTTTTACATTCAACCAGCAGTGAATTCTACCACGAAAATTGCAATTGATGGAATCACAGAACTGATGGAATCATGGCCATGCCATAGCCTCCCCATAGCCACGGGGTACCTCCCTGCCCAGGTGAATCACTCCCTCCTCCCTCAAAGTACTGGGGCCTAAACGACCATTCTCAAAACCTCCAATCTTAATTGGACATGGGCAGGAACACAGTTATCAAAGATGAGGAGAAAGCTGAGGTATTTAACACCTTCTTTACCTCAGTCTTCAACAGTAAGACAGGTTGTCCTGAGGAGAGCTGGCTTCTGGAGCTTGTAGACAGTAAGGGATAAGAAGCTGAATAGCCCCCTGTAGTCAAGGAGGAAACAGTTTGTGACCTGCTGAGCCACTTGGATCCTCACAAGTCCATGGGACCAAATGGGATTCACACAAGGGTGATGACGAAGTTGATGGAAGAGCTCACCAAGCCACTCTCCATCATTTACCAACAGTCCTGGCTCTCTGGGGAGGTCCCAGACAATTGGAAGTTGGTGAATCTCACACCAATCCACAAAAAGGGTGGGAAAGAGGACCGGAAACTACAGGCCTGTCAGCCTGACCTCAGTGCCTGGCAAGGTTATGGAGCAGATCATTCTGAGTGCCATCACACAGCACCTATAGGATGGACAAGGGATCAGACCCAGACAGCACGGGTTTAGGAGGGGCAGGTCCTGTCTGACCAACCTGATCTCTTTTCATGATCAGGTGACCCACCTGGTGGATGAGGGGAAGGCTGTGGATGTGTCTATCTGGACTTCAGCAAAGCCTTTGACACTGTCTCCCATAATATACTCCTGGAAAAGCTGACAGCCCATGGCTTGGACAGGGGCACTCTCTGCTGGGTTAAGAACTGGCTGGAGGGCCGGGCCCAGAGAGTGCTGGTGAACGGGGCTGCATCCAGTCCTGTTTAATATTTTTATCGATGATTTAGATGAGGAGATTGAGTCCATCATCAGCAAATTTGCAGATGACACCAAGCTGAGGGGGAGTGTCAGTTGGCTGGGGCTCTGCAGAGGGACCTGGTCAGACTGGAGAGTTGGGCTGATTCCAACGGGATGAGGTTCAACAAGGCCAAGTGCCGGGTCCTGCACTTTGGCCACAACAACCCCTGCAGCGGTACAGGCTGGGCACAGAGGGGCTGGAGAGCAGCCAGGCAGAAAGGGACCTGGGAGTTTGGATTGACAGGATCCAGCAGTGTGCCCAGGTGGGCAAGAAGGCCAATGGCATCCTGGCCTGGATCAGGAACGATGTGGCCAGAAGAACCAGGGAAGTGATTCTTCCCCTGTACTCAGCACTGATGAGGCCACACCTGGAGTGCTGTGTCCAGTTCTGGGCCCCTCAATTCAGGAAGGATATTGAGGTGCTGGAGTAGGTCCAGAGAAGAGCAACCAGGCTGGTGAAGGGGGACTTGAGCGCAAGTCCTATGAGGAGAGGCTGAGGGAGCTGGGGTTGTTAGCCTGGAGAAGAGAAGGCTTAGGGGAGACCTCATCACTCTCTAGAACTACCTGAGAGGAGATTGTAGTCAGGTGGGGGTTGGTCTCTTCTCCCAGGTAACTATCAGTAAGATGAGAGGGCATGGTCTTAAGCTCTGCCAGGGGAGGTTTAGGTTAGATATTAGGAAGAAATTATTTACAGAGAGGGTAATCACGCAATCTAGCATTGGAATGGGCTGCCCAGGGAAGTGGAGGATTCTCCGTCCCTGGAGGTTTTTAAGAAGAGACTGGATGTGGCACTTAGTGCCATAGTCTAGTAACCACGATGGTAGTAGATCAAGGGTTGGACTTGATGATCTCAGAGGTCCTTTCCAACCCGGCTGATTTCTCTGATTCTATGACTCCGGCGTGAGTCAGCGCATGGATTCGAGGAAGTAAATTACCCAATTATCGTCGCTCACTGGGCAAGCGAGGCGGCACAAGGGCAGGAGGATCCCACCTCCTCCGCCCGTGAGACCTCGCCACCCTTCCCCAACATCCCTCAGGAACACCACATCCCCGCCAGCCTCTGGAACACCATTTACTCCTGGCAGCGCTGCTGTGCTTAATATGAAGGCGTTGTCCCCTTAGCCGAGCTGCTGCGGGCGGTGCTCCCGGTCCCCCCTCCCCACTCCCTGTCAAACACCGCCCTGCCGCCTCCTCCCCGCGGCGGGAGGGACCCTCCGGAGGGAGGAAACGGGAAGGATCCCTGAAGTTTCCAGTTCAGGAGCGGGAGCCGCCGGGGCGCAGCCCTTCCCCTCCCACCTCGCAAGCCTTTCGCGCGGTAACACAAACTTTGGTTTACAGGAAGCAGAAACTTGGGCTCACACCCTCCGTCCCTGTCCCGGCACGGCCGCTGACCCGCAGCCCGGCGACCCTCCCGCGCCCCCGGCCCTTCCCCGGCACTCACCCACCGCGGCGGCGAAGGGACGGCGGCCGGCCCAGGGCTGCTTCCCGGCTTCCCACCGCTCCCGCCCCACACACGGTCTCTCCGCCCCGGCGGGAAGCGGCTCCTCCTCGCGCAGGCAGGGCCCGAAGGCTTCCCCTTCGCCAACACCTCCTTTTCCCCTCCGTTCACCCAGAGAGGTGCCGGGGGTCCTTCTGCAGCTCCCACCCTTTTCCTCGACAGGTGTCATCAAGTACCTTCTGTCACTCTCCGCTCCCCACAAAGGAAACAGAAATAATATCCTGGCAGCCTCTTCTTGCAAGAGTAAAGCACACATTTTCAAGTCCAAAAGCCCAAAGGAGTACGGTAAGGGTAAAGCAAAAGAAGTGGTGCTGATACAGAGGGGTGTGTTCACAGTTTTGCCCTCCCGACTGACATTAAAAAGACACAGACAACGAACGTTTCGGCTGCATTTCCACATCACCACCTTTCACTTATATATGCAACACAGGCTGCCCAGGAAGATCATGGGGTCTCCCTCTCTGAGGACATTCAAAACCCACCTGGGTGCATTTCTGTGTCACCCGCTCAGCTGACCCTGCCTTGGCAGGGGAGTTGGACTAGACGATCTCCAGAGGTCCTTTCCAACCCTAACAATTCTGTGATATTCTTGAAGCATGCACTGAACAGGCAGGGGAGAGGTTTCGTAATTGCAGTTTTATTTACTCACTTTCAGACTAGACAGTGCTAACACAGAAAGTACCACGTTTTACAGCAGTCACCATGCCCGACCCTGGAAACAGGTATATGACATCAGGACAGCACCTACACATACCTGGCAGAAGTGTATTTTATACAGAGAAGACACAGTGAGTATGTTGCTTTATCATTTGTTTATCTAAGCAGTCACACAGTGACAATGACTATATCTTATACCCCTCTGTACATCAATAGAAAAAAATACACCATAGAGAAGATAAACCAAATTTCAGTTATTTGACATCATCCAGATTGTCAATTTCTCCTAGTGAATAACCACAGGGGTTGCCAAATACCATGAAGATAAGTACTCTGTATCTTACAAAAGCTTTCAGTTTTGCACAGGATTGCCAAAGGAAAAAAAAAAAAGCCAAATTCTGTTCATTTGGGGTTTAACAGACAAACAAAACCACAAAACAAATGTGCTAGGACTCACAGGAGACTTTCTGATTTCACTGGACATGAGACCAAGGCCTAGATAGGCACAACAAAGTAATTTACGAAAACTTGGAAATAACTAAAATGAATTCTTTATAAATCTGTTGGTTACAGCTAACCAGTTCACCTGTGATGACTACTAAACATAGAAAGGAGGAGGCTATGATGCTTTGACCCAGATCCTTTGCTGAATGTTGTCTTCAGGCCTGAGCTGCCTTTTGGACTAACACGTAAAAACATGGAGGTAATTAAAAAAAAATTTCTTTTCTTTCTTTGTTAGCTATATAAACAGGAACTCCATACTATCAAATAGGTTGGGCTTTAAACCATTAAGAGAAGTAGCAGGTCTGGTCTTAGAGTTTTGAGTTTACATTACACCTAATTA